GGGCGCCCGACGCTGCGCTCACCCCCCAGGTCTCTGCGTAAAGGTGTGCTGTCCAGGCGGACGGCACTCTCACACGGACAAAAGGCCGCGTCTCTTTCTGACGGTCCTGCGCCCAGTTCCAGTGAGTCCTCAAACCCTCCGACCCACGTCCGCGGACGGTAACCAGAGGGTCTTCTGGACCCAACAGCGCGGCCCAGCCCCGCGCGCTCAGTGTCCAAGCCGGCCAGCAGCAGGACACATGCCCACTGGACAGCGGACACCAGAGGACACAGACCCCCAAGGGTGACAGTCAACGACTTGGCATCATGCTCACAGCACCAAAAGCAGGGGACACCACACAGAGGCAAAGGGACCCGTGACAGAATGGTGTGGACGTCCAGGCTGACAACAAGCACGCCCCCCAAGGGGACACGGAGCGTTCACCACGCACAGAGCCGAAATCTCGGGAAGGGACAGGAAAGGCCCTTCAGCAAGTCCGGGTATTGAAGTGCGTCCGGGGTGTTGCTGAGGTTTGAACCACCCGCGAGTAGCACTGGGGCCAGGTCCTCGATGGGAGTCTCCGGTGAAGCTGCAGCACGTTCACAACGGCCTTCTCTGCCTAAAACTGTTTTTCTCACATCCTCACCTTTGAATGAAGATCTGCTGGGCGTTGGGTCGCAGGTGCAAAGCTCTTTTTCTTTGATACCTTAAAATCCTCCTCCGTTGCCGCCGTGTGTCCAGTGGGGCCGAAAGGTCTGATGTCACAACAACTGCTCCTCCTCCTTGGCGCGCCCTGCTCTTTGGCTGACACTTGTCCAGCCTCCCCTCTTTTTTCGGACATTCTTGCATTTTGCGTGATTGTGAGCGGCTGTGGCTTTTCTCGCTGGCTCTCCTTCTGGAACTACGTATAGTCTCCCACCTTCGGGGCCCGCCGGGACACGGACAGTTGGAGTCGCACCCCAGCGCGGCCTCCAGGGGGGCAGGGTCCCCCGGGAATAGCAGCCGGGCGGGGCTGGGGCTCCGGAGCCCCTCCTCCATGGCCTTCCCGAGGCATCGCAGGCTCCGCTGCTGGGTGGCTCTCGGGCAGGTGAGCGTCGGGGGCGGGCCGCCTGCCAGAGGTCGCGTCCCTCCTCTTCTCCCCCAGCCAGCTCTCCTCACCGTGTGACTGTGGAGAGGCCTGCCCGGACACAGCCCCCGGGGGCCCGCCCACCTCTGTCTTTCCAAAGCAGAGCCTGTGCTTCTGGGAAGGAAAAGTGAGCGCAGCCTCGGCACTTAGGCCTGGCACTCCCCACGCACTGGGCCTCCGGGGCATGGAGCCACCCCCGCGTCCGAGAGCCCGGGCTGGGATGCCACAGCGTCTCTGCGGTGACCTGTGGTGGCCTAGAACCTGCTCGTGAGTTCCCAGCGTCGTGCGAGCTCCAACGCCGGCAAGCATCCCTGTGTTCAGCCTTATCCTGTAAAGAACAAATAATATTCCTCTCCCTCCTCACCAGGTTCCGCCAACTCGTGGTCACCCTGAGCGCCTGTTCCTGGCCATGCGGCCAGTGAGGCACAGCTTTCCCTGGTGAAGTCTCGCAGAGCTAAACGTAGTGAAGGGGATCTGGTTTCCCTGCCAAGGTTTGGCCAACACGCAGGGGGCCATGTGCCATGATCCACGGTGTATTTACTTCACCTTCACTACTCCTTCCCAATTAGATGAACGGCTGGAAGTTTGTTTAGGAAACTGGCAGTAAAATGCAAGGACCGAACACGGGCGCGCACTAGCCTCCTCCCCCGGAACAGCACCGCAGCGAGGGTTCTGACACAGCAGGTCCTCCCTGGCTGGCTGTGGGCCCCTCCGCCCCCCCCCCCGGCTCCCCGCCAGTCCCTCCCCGCTCGCCGAGGCTGCAGGGCCTCCGCCGGTCCTGGCCCTCAGCGTGTCCTTCCACGTCTCTCTCAGGGCCCCTCCCAGCCTAGGCCCCCTTCTAGGACGGCCACCAGCAGCCCAACGCCCAGGTCCTGACACGAGGTGCCGATCCCTCCAGAACCCCTGTGACCTCCCGCCTGCATGGAGGCCTCTGTGTTAGTCACGCATCCCCGGCGGCTCAGGCCTGGGTGCCCCTCACCTCCTCCCTGACCTCACTCCATACCCAGGGCCCCCCCCCCGAGTCCCACAGCCCCGCCTCCCTGCCCCACCCCTCGGGCCCCCCCAACTCCCTCGGGCCCCCCCAACTCCCTCGGGTGTCCTTGCTGGGCTGCTGGTGTCTCCCGCCCCGTTCCCGTCCCGCCGCTGCCCACGTAGAACCGGATGCATGGGGTCTCCAGCCCTCGGAGCCCGAGCCCCCGCCCAGCCCGCTCACCAGCCCAGCACCCACCATGCTTGATTCAGGACCAGCAGCCCCAGGGTGGACCCACCCATGACCTCAGCACCCCCGTGAGCTCCCAACACCTGAAGGCCACCCTGGCCCTCCCCACTGGTGCTCCGCTCAGTCTGGCAGCCCCACGAGGCCACCTCCCACGTGGACAGGGACAGACGGCCTCTGCCTGGGCTCAGCATCCGGGCCACACGAGCGGGCAGGCAGCCAATGTGCTGTCAGGACCTGGGAGCTGACGAGTAAGGTAATGAAGGACACGGGGACCGCTGGCCGGCCTCTCCGGCGCCTGGCCGTCGCGGACCGCCTTGGGAGGCAGGGGAGGGCAGGCTGGAACGCGGCCACGTCCCGCCCTGTTCCCAAGAGAGACTCAGAGGTAGACACCCCGGGCCTCGACTGGCGAAGGCCCCTGATCGCCAGCCGTGCAGGGCCAGAGCTCCAGGTCATAGACACGTGGGTGCCCGCCGGGGGCCTCAGAGACACAGTCAGAGGGCACGTGGGCCCTTATTAAACCAGCTCAGGACGGAGTGGGGCCGACAGCCGGAGTGAGAGGCCGGGGAGCCCAGAGAGGCAGTGACCAGCACAGAGGGCCAGCCCAGTGGACAGGCGTTGCCGGGGCTCTGTGAGCCCTGGCCTTCTCCGCCCTGGGAGGAGGCCACGCTCGGGGACCCAGCTCCCACCTGACAGGGCAGCGAGGAGCCTCAGGCAGAGCTGTCCCCCAGCGCTGTCCCCACCACTGCCTTCCGACCCCGGGCAGCAGGCCTCCTCCGGGAAGAGGCTCCTCCGGGAAGAGGCTCCGAGGGGAAGCATCAGAACAGGCAGGAGCCAGGAACAGGCAGTCATGGGGGCACGGCCGGTCAGACCCTCTGACCCCGCTCTCCCGCCTGCTGTCACACGCCCGAGCTGTGTCCACGGGACTCCCCAGGAACCCCCATGTCTGGAGAGACCGGGCATGGACAGGATGGACCAGCTCTGGCCTCGGGGGGCGGGGAGGAAGGAGCCCGCTCAGGCCCGGACCCCTGGAACGGGAGCTGGCCCTGCAGGCCTCTCCCTCCACCACCCTCCCCAGACCACACCCCCCAGACGGCGCCCACACCAGCTCCCCTGGCCTGGACTCGGGCGGCCCCCCACGCTCCCCGACTCAGGGCGGCTGCCCACCACCCCCCCGCACAGCTCCCTGCCCCTCTTCCGTCCGCGTGCCAACGTGGCCGCCCCCAGGCCCTGCGCACCTGCTCCCCACTAGCGCTTCCCGCGGCCCACGGTGCTCCGGTGGGGTGTGTCCGAGGCCGGGCCAGGGGCAGGTTGTGGCCTTGGCGACGTTCCTGCACACCTGAGGGAAGTGATCCTGGAAGCCGGGTGGCTGGACCGCAGGTGACGCCCAGCGGCCAGAGCCCAGGGAGCCGTGAGCTTGGGGGCGGGAGGGGTGAAAGGACAGTGGGTGCACGGGGTGAGGCTGCCACCTGCCCATGGGCCCCTGTGACCTTCCGGCCAAGCCCTGAACCTCTGCTGGAGGCAAAGGGCTCCCAGGGGACCCCTCCGCGCCCCCATTCCCACCCTCCTGAGAGAGGTTGGTGCAGACCCTCAGGTGCCAGGAACCTAGGCCTTGCCATCGGGAAGGGCCACCGGGCTCCACGGTGCTCCACGCCGGCGGACAAGATGTGTAACCACCACCCAGTCTCCCTGCAAGGCGCCCTCAGCCAGCCACAGCACGTCCTGCCCAGACGCTGCGGGAGCACCACCCCCGGGTCTGGGGGGGGTCCTAGGTTCCCGGGGGAGGCCGGGCAAGAGACCTGCAGATGAACCGCAGTGCCCTGGCCTCTCTGTGCCACCAGGGAGCCACACCACCGGGGCCAGGGCTGCTGCCGGCGCCACGTGGTCTGGGCCCTGGCCAGGCCGCATGGGGTGGGGCCAGGCTCCACGTTCGTGGCCTAAGGCTGCAAGGGCCGCCCGGCCGGCGAGGCCGGGGCCCCTCTGGCTCCCACTGCCGTGGGCTGGGGAGGCTCCTGGCACTGGAACAGAATTAGGGGCTTGGGGACACTTCTGGACCTGAGGCGCAGGCACAGGGACACGGGGTTAGGGTGTCCCAGAAGAGCACAGGCAGGGGCATGGGGCCCCTGGGGGTGGGGACGGTGGGATTCGGGGGAGGGCCCTCCGGACAGTGGCGGTGGCCCAGGAGCTCCTGAGACCCCGAGGAGGAGGCCCAGCGGCCGGAGTCCCTCAGTCACACCCCTCCCCCCTCCCCTCCCCAGGAGGCAGCAAAACAGCACAGTGAGACTTTGGATACAAAACTGTAAACACGAGTCTTTAAAATGACAGAGGCCTGCCTGGCCCAGACTCTGAGCCAGAGGCCGCCACGGAGGGACCCCGAAGGACCAGACCTCGCTCCCCTCTGTCCTTCCTTCCCACCCAGGCCCCAGGAGGCCGGGGCCGGTGGGGGGAGGCTGGGGGGCCCTCCACTCGCACACACCGCCCTGCTCCGGGGCCAGGGGACGCGCGAGATGGAGGTCAGCAGCCCGAGGGGTCCCTGAGATGAAGCAGCAGCTGCAGGCCGGCACTCTGGCACCTGGCCCGGGGGAGCCCGCCCCCACCCCATCCCATGCAAACCGCACGCCCCATCCCATCAGCCGGCGTCTGCGCGCCCGTGGGCGTCGCGGGGCGGCAGGGACCCTGTCACGTGTCCAGTGCATCGCGCGTGGGCGAGGGCCCGCGGGGGCGGCCTGGAGGGCCATGCAGCGGCGGGGGCGGCGGCATCGAGTTGCGCTGCGAGGGCGGCGGCTGCAGCTCCAGGGCGAGCGCGGGCGGCGGGAAGTCGCGCACCTGGCGGCGGTACTCGAGGAAGGTGCAGGCCTTGGTGGCCAGCGCCACCACGTTCTTGCCGACGAAGATGGCCGAGACGCGGCTGTCCCGGAAGAGCGCCATGTTGGCGGCGCGCGCCAGCACGGCCACCACGTTCACGGTAGCGAGGCTGAGCACCGGGTAGAGCATCATCTTCTGCGGTGCGATGTGCTCGCCCTGCATGCTGACCTCGCTGAGCGCCACACACGGCAGCACCAGCAGCAGCATGTAGCAGTAGAAGAAGGTGAGGCCCTCGGCCCACAGCGGCAGCCCCGTGCGCGGCGGCTCCCACAGGTTGGCCTGCATGTCCAGCAGGTCCAGCAGGTCCAGCGCCACCCAGAAGAGGCGGCCGCGCAGGTCCTCGCGCTTGCGGAAGGTGCGCACGTACTCCATGCGGTCGAGCGCGACGAGCAGCAGGAAGAGGCCGGGCACGCAGACCGACAGCAGCAGCGTCAGCGCCTTGCGCGCCACCGGGTCGGCCGCACCACGCCGCGCAGCCTTGTAGTTCTGGAAGATGAAGTAGAGCTTGATCTCCAGCACGAAGATGTAGAGGAACCAGAGGATCATGGCGTAGCCGCGCTTGGCTGTCCGCACCTCGGCGCCCACCCACACGGCCACGTAGCGCAGCACCAGCAGGAAGCACACGTCGCCCACCAGCACGATGATGCACACGCCGATCTTGCGCGGCCCCTGGTTCTGCTCCACCAGGTAGGCGTCCATGACCGCCATGCTGCCCATGATCACCAGCGTGGTCAGGCACACGTGGCGCCGGTCCGGGGGCGGCAACACCATGGTGGGCCGCCGGGACCCTGGCCTGGCGGCGCGTGGCCCCCACGCGAGGCGGGACGAGGCCCGGCTGCAGTGGCGCTCAGCCCGCGGACATGGCGCAGTGAGACCCGTCCAGCCGCCCCGAGGGTGCCACCACTCCTGGCCCGATAGCTCAGAACCTGGGGAGACCAGAGAAGACAAAGTCAGGAAGCAGTGGGGGTGCCGGGGCGCCCGGGTGCCCGCCCCCGCCCCCGACCGGTGCGCTGGGTCGCACGCACGCGCCAATGCGCGCCCCGGACAGGGAGCGGCAGCGGGGCCTCCAGGGGGCGCTGCAGCCCCACCTGAGGCCGAGGCAGGCCGGCCGCCTCCGAGAGAGAAGCGCAACGGAAGTGGCTTCTCCGCCGCTCATCCCCGGACCCGGTGGTTCCTCCCTGCTGTGCCCACTCCGCCATCCCTCCCGCTCTCACGGCCTGTGCCCCACGCCCGAGGCCGTTGCCGCGGGGATTCGGGGGTCCTCCCTCCCTACCGGCGCCGCGCTAGGCGGGGACGCGGGCCAGCGCCACCAGTTCTGCGCCCCGGAGGAGCGCGGGAGGCCGGCGGAGGCCCGGGCCCCATCCTAAGACCCGGGTTTTCTGATCCAGGACTGAGCGGTCCGAGTCCTGAGGATACCGCCCCACAGGCTTCTCCCTGTCCTGCGGCTCGGTCTCCCCGCGCGTCCACCCTCCATAGGCACGCGGACAGCCCTCTGCCTTGCTCCCACCGTGGCTCCCGTAGCCTTGGGAGGCTGGCGCCCTGGCTGCATCCCCTGCCGCGCCCGCCCCTGCACCTGGCCAGCACAGCCTGCTCCCTGGGAAGCCCGCCGCCCCCTGCACCTCCATGTAGGGCTCTGGAAGCCGCCCGCGGCTGTGCCCACCTGGATCCCCTTTGGGTGCGCAGCCCCGAGCCCCTCTCACTGCTGGCGCCAGTCGTCGTGGCTGCCTGTGCTGGTTGGGGAGACACACCAGGCTGAGGGGCCCACACCTGGGCAGGCCCTCGGCAGGGGAGAGGGAGGCTCGCACACCCTCACCCCCCCCCCAGAAGCCGCTTGCAGCCAGGCCCCTCACCTCTTCGCTCCCCGCCACAGCACCCCGGCCCCAGGGCTGTTTACCGGCCTGTCTAGACAAGGACATGAAATTTAATGTCACCCATGACTCTGGAGCAAGTGCTTGGCCTGCTCCCGATGACAAGGCAGCCCCCACTGACCAGGAAGGGGGTCCCCCCCCCCGGGGGTCAGGGCGGCCACACAGGACGCCGACCACTCTGAGCTCAGACGCCTGGCGTCAACGGGTGCCCCTGCCTCCACAGCTCATGAGTTCCTGCTCCCCGCACGCACGCCCACCCTGTTCCCACCCCCAGTGGGTGGGCACGCTGGTCCCACGGAGCCCCACACGCACACACCGGACTCCTCTGGCTGCAGCGGCGGCCTAGGAATTTCCTCCCCCCAGCTCCACCGGGCCAAAGAGCCAGAGAGCCGCGGCACAGCTAGCCCCTTCCCCGGCACCCACTTCCCCGCGCCCTCGCTGCCGCCTCTCAACGCGGGGCGCGGAACCCCATCCCCACGCGAGCGCACAGAGCGAGCCCGGGCCCCTGCCCCCAAAGCCGAGCGGGACCTGACCAGCCTTTCCAGCCGGCCGGGCCCTTCCTCCCTGGCGGTCTGGTGCCGCCGTGTCCCCCGCGCGCCCTCCGCCCGGAACTCACGACTCTGCGGCCTTGGGCTCCTCACCGCCCGCCAGCCCCGCGGTCGGGCCCCCACCCAGAACCACCCTCCGTGCCCACGAGAAGGAGGAGCAAGGGCCGCCGCCCTCCACCCCCCGCCGCCAGCCCCCACCGGACAGAGGGCGGGGAGGGGGCTGGGCCGCTCCCCTCGGGCTGCGCCTCCGCTCCTCCGTCCAGGCCTCACTCCTGAGCGCCGCCTGCGTCCCACCGCCCCTGCGTCCGGCAATGGGAGCAACAGACCCGGCTCCCGCCCAGCTCTGCAGACGCAACCGACCGCCCGGCTTGAGCCTACCCGCCGCCCGCAAGATGCCGCGCCCCGCGGGCCCGCCGAGCCTCTGCCCGGCCGAGGGCGCGCTGCTTGGCTGGTCCCCGGCGCTGCACCCCCGCGCCCCGCCCGAGGCCCCGCCCCGCGCCCCACGCGCCCAGCCGCTCCCGGGGTTGGGGTCCGGCGCCGGTTGCCACGGCAACAGCACTGCGCAGTGGCAGCAGCGACGAGGCTGTCACTGGGGCGCCGGGCCCGGGAAATCTCTCTGCCCTTCCTCACCCACAGCCGGGAAGCCTGCCCCGGCGCTTCAGTCCCAATGGGTCCTGAAATTCCGCAGCAAACCCCGCCCAGGCGGCCCACCTGGTGACCCCCTTGCCCACACAGCAGGCCTGCGGGGCCTTGTTCCTGCCCCTGGAACTGACCCTGATGTGGGGGCCAGGCTGACCGCTGGCTATCTGCGCGTGGCCCATGGGACCTCGGTGTGACTCGTGGGAACAGAACCAGAGGCGCCCAGTTAGGTTGCATGTTTATGTCTGTGATCCATTCTGAGTTAAATTTGAAGCATGTTGTAAGGGAGGGACCTGCTCTGGGTTGAATGATCGTCCCAAAGAAGACGTGCTGCCGTCCTACCCGCCCCCCCCGCCCCGTACCTGTACCTTGTGTGCGTGGGTCCTTATTTGGAAATAGTTGATCGTTGAAAACTGCAGGTTTTAAGTGCAGGGGTTCACATAAATGAAGAGTTTTTAAAATCCACGTGCAAACGGATCGGCGTCCAAGGATCAGTTGTAGAGCATTTGCAGATCATCAAGCTCAGCCGACAACATGGAGCACAGTGGCTGCTCTCCTCCAAAGGAGAGAGGCCTGCGGACACAGGGGAGGTGGCGGGGGGCCGGAGGCAGAGGTCAGAGCCGGGCTGCAACCCCAGAGGCCCAGGCCGGCCGGCGCCCCGAGCTGGGAGGGGCCTGCAGCCCGCTCTCCTTCAGAGCCGCGGGCCCCCCCGCCCCGCCCCTAGGAGCCACACTGGGACCCAGCAGCCCCAGGGTGCTAACCCAGGGCCTGATCTGTTCTTCTGCACCCTCCTGCCCCAGCACTATTGGTTGGAAAGACTGTTTTTTCCCCATTGAGTTGTCTTGTCAAAAATCAGTTGACGGTGGCCAAGACCTGGAGACAACCCACGTGCCCTTCCGCAGGTGACTGGAGAAAGCAGCTGCAGTGCTGCGCACAGTGGGGCCTGCTCAGCCCGAGACAGGGAACCACCGCAGCGGCGTGGAGGGGCCCTGAGAACACCGTGCTGAGCGGGAGAAGTCGGTCCGGAAAAGCGGAGGACCACGGGATCTCACACACATGTGGGATGTAGAACTGAAACGCCTGGACACAGGCAGCAGCTGGTGGTGGCCGGAGGGAGGCGGCAGGGCAGCGAAGGGTAAAGGGGCCCGAGTATGTGGTGGTGGAAGGTGATTGGACTTTGGGGGATGGGCACACAACGCGATATACGGGTGACGTATCCCTGAAAAGTGCGCTTGCAACCCGTATGATCCTGTTAACCAACCTCACCCCAGTAACTTTACATTAAAATATCAATTGACCGGAACGTGAGGGTGTCCTAGATGATCAGTTCTGTTCCCCTGGAGTGTGTGTCTTCTCTCCTGCGCACGCCACGCCGCCCGGGTCCCTGCCGTCTTGTGGCAAATTTTCACATTGGGACATGTGCACCCTGCATCTGTGTTCTTGTTTTGAGATTGGTTTAGCTATTCTGGATCCCTTGCATTTCTACATGAATTTTTGTAAGAAATGTGTCAGTTTGTAAAAAGCTGTCTGGGATTTTGAGAGGGAATGCATTCAATCGATAGATCAGTTTGGTGATGAAATAAGATGTCATTCCATTTATTTGGGTCTTTGTTAATTTTTTCACAATATTTTGTAATTTTCAGATCACAAGTTTTGCCCTACTTCTGTTAAGTTTATTCCTAAGTATTCTTTTTTGATGCTGTTATAAATGCAATTGTTTTTCTTGACTTCTTTCTTGGATTGCCAGTGTATACAAATGCAATGGAATTTTGCACATTGATTTGTATCCTGCAACCATACTGAGCTCATTTATTAGTCCTAATTCTTTTTGTGGATGCCTCACAGTTTTCCTCATACAAGACCATGTCATCTGCAAATGGAGGTAGTTCTGCTTCTTCCTATTTGTTCCTATTTCTTGCCTGGTCACCCTGCCCAGAGCCTCCAGCACAGCGTCGAACAGGAGTGGAGAGAGCGGCACCCCTGCCCGGCTCCTGGTCTTGGGGGCCGCTTCTGTCTTTCACCCCCGAGCATGACGTGAGCCGTGGAGCCCGGGAGATTCAACAGGTGGAGGAACTTCCCTTCTGTTCCTGGTTTGTTCAGTGCAGCCGATTACTTTCACCTGAGGTGTAAAGGCGATTTCACAGTGAGAAAATAGTATCTTCACCAATTAAACATCCACATGCAAAAAAAAAAAGGCCCACAAAAACAAAAGACTCCTATCTAAACCTTGTGTCTTTTACAAAGATTAACACAAAATATACCATAAATCTAAACGTAAAACTATAAAACTTTTAGAAGAAAATATGAAAGAAAATCTTCATGACCTGTGGCCGGGCAAAACAAAACAGGTTTCCCCATGACACCCGAGCACAACCCACACGGACCAGTTGCAGCCCTGGGACATCACAGTGCAAACCTCGCTCTGAGAGAGTGAAAAGGCACGTTACAGACTGGGAGGCAGTGTTTGTACATCACACGTTGGACAACAGACACAACACAGAATATGTTTATCAAAACCCTGGGAACAGACCCTGAGGACCCTTGTCTCCTCTCCTTGCCGCGTCCTTCCTTCCTGCCCTGTGTTTGGGGCTGAGCCTTCAGCAGCCCCCCAGCACGGTCAGACCGGAGGTTTGGAGCGGAACAAGTCGAGGGACAGGCTGAAGTGGAGGAGCCAGCTCCGCCCCGCCAGGCACCCAGGCCCGGGCGGGAGAGGGAA